GACGGCATGTCTAATGGAGACCAAAGATCATAGTCGGAGCTACATATACATATATATAGCAGGCAGATTAGTTAAACCTTTTTGAGGTTTAAAGTGACAACTTTAGAGCGAAATGTGCTGCCAAAAATGCGAACTTATTTCTACATATAAAACATCATTTATTGGTCTCTGCCGCTACCCTTCCCTCTTTACCTTTAGCTCTTTTACGAACAGTTCCGCTAAAAGTCTGTTTTGATTACTCACACGTATACGGTTGCGCTCGGAAAAAGCTTGACTCCTGCTTGTTTTTTTTTCTGCAAAAACCCACTGGCACCTTTCTATATTTTTGACCCGTTTACTGATTCGTCGCGATCTGTTTCTTCTGGCATCTCCGTTCCGTGCGCGGCCTGTGAAAAAAAAAGGTCGATCATAGCATCGGGAGGAAGGCGGACTAGGGTCGAGGGGGTGAGACAACAAAAAAAAAATATCGAGGAAGAGAGCTGGACGAGAGCCGATAGAATCGTGATTAATTTGGCTCAGTTGCCAATGGCTTTGTCTTCGCTGTAATCATCATCATCATTATTACAGAAGTCAACTATCATCACCGTTTGCATAACTGCTACTATTATCGAGAACAAAGAATGGAGCCGGCAAAGGTCGACGATCTTACTTATGCTTTATGCGCTAGAGGAGCCCGCGCCTGGTGACGATAGCTGAGCGACCGGTTCCCGTTAGTATTGAGTTCAGCGTATGATCTATGGGATATCTGTTCTGCACGTAGAAGATAGCTTGAAGGACACAAACTGGAAAAATACAAACAATTGCCTTTTTCAAGCTACTATTATTCTGGAAGCTTGCATTTGGTGTCGCCTAAATAAAAATGGGGATTTTCAGGTCTGGCAATGCTCCTGTTAAGATTTCGTGAAGTTCAAATTTGTTCTTTCTATATAGTGCATAAACACGTACAATCAGCTAACTATACAGTAGACGTAAATTGCAAACGAATCAAGTTAGAAAACTTATAGGTTTGTCCAAAGGGATGATGGATGATACGGTGTCGCACTGGCAAGCGCTGAGTATATACTTTAAAGCGGTCGCAAACATACAATAGTTACACGAATTGTGTTTGTGTTTGTGTTTGGATCTATGTGATTTTGTCTGTAGCTCTATTTATGGTTGGGATAGGGTTCCGGTCTATGTGGCCTTGAGTAACTTTAAAAGGTCAACAGAAAATACTGACATCGGCGGCGACGGATGCTATCATGTAGACAGGGGTAAGTGCGACAGATTTTAAGTTTAGAGCCTAGATAGGTCTAGGTAAATTATTGGCTAAAATTAGCGACGCTGCACCCTTTATTTGAAGTAATAAGCTATTGGATCTTTGTCGAAACAGAAAAAAAGATTCATATTTAAGCGTGTTTTTCCACCACATAAGACTTGGGAGCACAGTCTGGAAATTATCGTAAATATCAGGTGCCCAGCATATTGGTACGCCTACAAAACATCGTACGGCTGTTATTATATGGCTCGAAAAGAAAATATCCTGATTAGAAGCGTTTTATGAAACACAACTTTTTACAAAAAGCCATTTTGTGTCAACTCCTTGTACAGTTATGATAGACAGGGGGCAGGCGACCATCAGGAAACATGCTGCTTAGTGGCAGTTCACAGCTGCAATATTGGATAGCACACATAATAGTGCCGTACTATTATTTGCCGTGTCCGAAATTAGGAAGAGTAAGTGAAGAATATCTTCATTGATAACCATTGTTATAATAACATCTGAGAAATAAATTGCCGATTAAATCAGACCACGTTACACCCGTATATGTAACGGGCCCTAGTTCGACGCTAGCGCAGAGTTAAGGCCTCCGTAGACACTCGATGAGTGCGTTCCTAGGTTTTGGGCGTAGCCTATCGATGTACATTGAGATTCTATGCGCCCAGTTTACATACACAGCAGCCATAGTTGTGAATAAGAAAATTCCCGCAGAAATCGGTCACCTCTATGTATGTACAGAGACGAAAGATGACATTGAACACAATAACATTGGTACATGATCGTTTTTCCGATACGATAAAATTAAGACAAAGTCGATAAGATAAACGCTCGACGCGGGAACAGCAACGATTACGGGCGGGCCGAGGGCGAGTAAGGGTTTGCCGAAAGAGGAAAGTAATAAACACGTCGGTTTACGCACAGATAGTCACAGTCACAGTCACAGATGCGCTGCTGTGTCTCTATTATGTGCAGTTGGATCGCCTTTCGATCGTTTTTGTTGTCTGTGAGATTTTTTCACTGTTTGACTCCTATCACGTCGGCGAAATAGAACGATCGGCTTTTCATTTATAACTACCTATATGACATTAAAAGGGCGGCTGTCAAAGATTACCGACAACCGACACAATTGCTCCTGCCGCGCTTGTGCTAGCTATTGCTTATTTGGCTCAGCAAAAGCGTGTCACGACGGCAGGAGTCGCATAGGCCCGTGAAACTTGGCCGTGGACAGTGGCCGTTCGACGCGAAGTTACTAGTTATTCTACCTTGACAGTAAGGATGATCGTAGGGGTGTACGACAAGAACAGTAACGCTATGCGGCAATGACGAGCCAAAAATGAGGCGGATGATGATGATGACAATAGTGATGACCGTGTCAGTAGTGATGACAACAAACCCCGCAATTATATGCACGAGCGACAAAAGCATGACGATGGCATTGGCCGAACGCGGATAACTTCAACAGGCAGGCAGTAACAATGAATCGATAGTCTCATTGACAGAACAGGCACACATGATGCAATTGTTCAAGGTCCATAACCTAAGTAGAACCTACGCTAAGCCACATCTATGTGTCTAGGTCTTATTTAAATATATTGCTTGTGACGCATTTAACAGTTTGCTGGTACCTTGGCTCATATTTAATATGATTGGAAGCAATTATTATTTGATCATGTTTTTTTCCAGTTAGACTGCTCAATCTCGGAAGCTTTCCAAGCAAAAAAATGACAATCAACGAATACGAAGCATATTACGTCTTGTGACGTAACAACAAATTTCAGTCTTTCTTTAGTTCTAGCTCATTTAGATTTGATTGAAATTTTTCTCGCGTGGAATCTATAGAAGAGTAAATTGAAATGCCCGGGGGCAATGCAGCTTACTATTAGAAAAAAATCACCCAAGACTCATTCGATATCGTTTTATAAAGCATCAACCTGCATCTTCGTAACTACTCACGTGTGTCTATGCATGTGTACATCTAGTTACATTAGTGTGCACTAAGACTATGGGCCTCGATGCATCTGGCCGACGCCCCGCTACTCTCCCACATGATACCATGCAACCGACCCGTACTAAATTTGTGTGCGTGTATATTTTGCTATATAAAATGCGTCAGTTAAATCGGTTTGCTTTTTGAGTCTTTGCGTTTGGTGCCACTATCGATGCCGGCCCCCAGAAAGCTTTTTTAGAACCAGCGCACACGCGAGGGCCAACCAGAAAGTCACTGTGGACAGCGCAACTGTGCCGGGGATGGGGAACAAATTTAATTGAGACTCTTCCTTTTGGCTTCTTTCACGCCACCCATCTTACGGTTCCTTCTGGCTCGTCGCTTTTGATCGCCCGCCTATCCATCCGCCTGCCCGACCGGCTGGCTAAGTGGTGTTCACGCTTTCGCGGGGCCAATCCACCCCGATGCTACTACGACGCACGTACAGAACTCATATGCTACAGCCTAACCTTAGATGCTCGATGGATGCGCCGGCAGTTACCACACTGGCGGGAGATCATTCTACATCACTGCCGTCACTACGGTCGCCATCACCGATGCCACCGCCCTCGTCATCACCGTAACAGCTCGGATACTTCAGAACAACTTCGTCAGCGGCTAGGGATGACCGCGTTAAAAGATCGATCCACATTTTCGCCACTGCCACTGCTGCACAACGCTCCGAAGCATAAAGGCGAAACTTGTTGAGTGTGATGCTCTTATAACGACAAGCGCACGGCGAAGAAATTTATAATTGATTTAAAGGACACTGAAAGGAGAAGCATCATATTCCTTCGAACAGATAGCCTTAGGACAGCGGCAATTGCAAATATACCATGACTACAACCAAACAAAGAAACGAGATAGAAGCATAACCCGAGTCCTCTAGCGAAGTAGCGATGTTGGCCATCGCATGGACAACATTCTGGGGAGACGGAACCGCTTACGCAAATAGCGCATGGAATTCGTTACATTCAGCACAAACGGGCACTTAGCCGACGTGTAGCGTGACGCGATTGCTTATTGGAACGTTAGAGGGACATAGCTAAAACTTCAATACTATACAAGTAAGTTTACTACCTTCTGAGTTTTTTCGGTTAAAAAAAATTCGCTCTTGACAAGGACCTCTTCGGGCAAGCGTTGTCCAACAACTACAAGCCAGAAAATGTCTCCGATCAAACGAAATGTTACACGTGCTGCGACGCTATTTAGTTATTGTATCGGTAGAGGCGGTGAAGGCCTTCAGCGTAATACATGTATTTGATCACAGAAGCCTAGTGAATAAATTGATTCCATTGTTTGGATAGGTGATACGACCGCAACATAAGCCTTATTCTATAATCGCTTATACGTTCGGGTACCGTCCGGACAATATATGGATGTCTAAGCTGTTTGGAGCTCCATGGCGTTAAATGGATGTACTGGCCTGAACTTAAACAGGCAGCTTGTGTTGTGTTATTGGTAAAATCATCGGAAATGAGTGCACTTTCGCTTAATACCAACATTTGTTTTCCTTAATGTAATCCTTTCACAGAGAGTACCAACCGACCATGAGTCGCTCCTTCAGATTTAGATGCTGCTGAAGTCGAAGATCGCAAGGTGCACTGCTGTTTTATTTGACTATTCGATGTCCCGAAGCTTGTTGAAGCTACAATAGAGTATTGCATGGAAAACTCGAATTTGGCAATAATATCAATAGAAAATTGCAGTTCAGTTATTGTAACATTGGAACCTCATTGGATTCTCTCCATTTAGGAATCTATCGGTGCCCGGTGTTCGTGGAGGACCTCGAAATGACCCCGATTCGGGGCCCGGACCGCGGGGGCTCGGCCGGAAGCGGCGGAGGAAGTGGCAGAGTTTCGGGAGCAAACGGCCAAACAAGCAGAGCTTTGCCGTCTTCTACATCGTACATTCATCCAGGTTCAAGTGTCCTATCTACGCATGCATCTCAACCAGCAACTCTTATGTCTACACCCCCTCAGCCTGGACGATCACAGTGCAATACACTCACGAGGGTGAGTATTTGAAAACACACGGAGGAATACAAACGTATTCCGAAGTTGCCATTGACAATGATGTTAGACACGTTAGAGCGGTGGACTTGCTAGCGATTCCTCCTCTTTAGTTAATAAAAACAATTTGCCTATTGAAATTTACTATGTCCCACTGTTTCAATTTGAACAGCTGGTAGTACTGAAGAATTTAATACAAGTTTTATAATCTAATTCTGATGGTTTTATACACAAAGTAACCTGCTTTTGGTACTTATCGTTCGTTTCGCTTGAGTAGGTAATCATTCTTCTCACTGGGGACACCGAATATATTCATTCGAACTTTGGTTTGGCTTCATATCTTTTCAAGAAAGGGTACCTAAAAGTGACGTATTCACATTTGATTTGATAGATACATCGTTCCCTTAACATTTGTCATGCTCGTTGCGTTTGCGTCCGCATTGGCCCCGGAAAAGTCTAAGCCTTCCCTCACTTCGAAGCTCATTCGAGCCATCACATTCTGAATTCTGACCTACTTTTGTTGTTACGCCATTTAGCTGTTAGTTACTAACAACTATCGGCGGCGGACAGCGACGCCGAGAAGTCGGACTACCGTCGATACGGATGGAATTTTCTCATATTCAAGTTATCTAAAACTTACTATAATAATATCACAACGAGTCGTATTTAATGCCAGATAGCGCATATATTAACGTGCTGGGGAAGTTCCTATTGCAAGTTCTCGATGCTGGTAAAAGGACGATTATGTTTTAGTGTTTTACGATTCGTACTCTTTTCGTCGCTATTAGTTATTCTTTCTTTCTTTCGTCAATTGTTCGGTATAGCCACTTCTTTTGTCGTATATTTCAAGCTGCCGATCTGAGCATTTCACATCCTTCTTATCATATCCGTAGATCGCTGGCCACTTGCGTACCCAGCACCATCACTCTCAACTGAATCAGTCAGCTGTTTTCATTCTTATCGTACGTAGCGAAACTTCGTTATTGATGTGTGTATCCACCTCGTAACTGCGAAACAGTACGATGATAGGCCGTAACATACCTCTAATCTGAGTCCTATTCTGTTCTATTCCTAACTTGTTGAAGACGAAACTGTTTGCTGGGGTAGCGTGAACCGCGTACCAGCGCTTCGTAACTTCTAACGGAGGCTCCATTTATGACAGACTTTGATGTCCTAAGACAATCAGCACACTCAGCTTATACGCGACCTGATCAGGTATATTACGGACAGAAAGTAGAAGCGATGCGTAAATACAATAGACCGACTGGCATAAGGGTCGTGGCTGTGGCCCTTCCGTTGGGCTGACATCCTGACTAGAAGATATACTGACGTAGTCACGTTAGGTAATACCCACCCATATCCTGTAATAGTATACGGTTACAGGATAAATTTAGCAAGTGACTCAGCTGATCCACCCGCAGTTTTGCATGAGGACTACAAACAATAGTAGATACCACCATACCTGCCTTTCTTTGGTCCTATTTAAACTAGATGTTTCGAGTCCTACATCCGGCCATGAGACGGCTGGCGCGAGATGGCGGATTCGAACCTAGATTAAATTAAACGCGTCCCTAAAAAAAAACTTCAAGGAAAATGCGTCACCCGCTACGCTTTCGCGGCACTTATACAGTAGCCAAGTTAAACTAGAGCGTTTTACTTTCTACTCTATGGACACACGCTTATGCACACTGATAAAAAAAGATCAATGCATACTAGTGTTCGTAAAACACAGTACTGTTAAACGGGGCAGACAACCTGGGCAGCAGTAACTGACCACAGAGCATGAACTTGCAGGCGGAAGAATAAAGCCTTTCTTTTAATTCTTCGTCTTCGCAGCTCAGTTCTTAGCGAGTAATTTATGTGCTCGCTTTGTGTGTGTGTGTGTGTGTGTCTGTTCGCAAAATGGTACATGTTATAGGGCCTAGATTGCAACCCATCACAGGCGCAACTGTTTTTAGCGGGCGCACTCATCTGGGTAACCAGGATAATCCGCTATTACAATAGAGCTCTAGGCCTGGTCATTGTCGACTGGATTGTTATTGGCTTCTCTTCCTGTATTTTTCGCTTTGCTCCAGCTTTCTATCAAAACTTTACACGTTTGTTTTACGGCTGATGGCTAGAACGGAGAGAATTAGCTTTGGCTGTTTCTAAAGTCCCACGCATAATTAGACACACGACAGGAGAGCCCCATCCAAATACATATCACATAGCGAACATAGAACTCTATGGCGCCGTATACTTGCACAGATCTTTTGTTTAGTCGGTTACGTTGTACGGTCGACCTGTGATCTACATTATTAAGTTGTTATTAAGAATTAGTAAAACGTTTCGTTTTCAATTACGTTTAATATGCCACTGTCAATGTAACCACTAGCGGGGCTTTTGCTTAATTGGCTGTCACAAACGCACGACGTTATAGATAGTCATTGAGTTGTGGATGGATGGCCTATTTGACCTGACAGATGCCTCACTCTTAAATGCCCATCTATAATGTCTGAAAACAGTGGATAGGCTTGAGCGTCGTATATGGATCATTACGGTTACTTGTCGGACTCCGCTAAAAAGCATTGTTTATGTCTTTAGTAAATGGAAAACATAAATTCAGTCTCGGGAAAAAGAACAGTAGCTACCAAACTGAGGTTATGAAGACTAGAGATATCTTAATGGAATCGATCAGCGATGCAACATATATTTGTGTATATTTAGATATGATGGCGTTATTTTGACTTTTTATAGTAAAATGTTTTTTAGAAACTGATTTATTCAGTATACGGGGCAGTATTAGCACTGTCAGAAGAAGCGCATATTTACCTGTGAGCCACTGTGAGTTTCGCTGCGTAACGCAGTGGCTTCGCGCCGCATAACAGTGAGTTAGACAAACCTCAATCAGTTTAACAGGAAAACAGAAGTGAACGGTGTGATAGATGGACGTCAATAAGGTTTAGATAACAGATTTGAGTCAAGATCGAAGACCTAAAATGACCTACAGATCGAACCAATACAATGGAAACTGCCATTGGTGAATTATAATCGAAGACATGATGCTAAATAATGTGCGCGTGACCTGAATTATATTTAGATATCTACCCGACCAAGAAGCGATGTTTAGCGATGGACATACCGTTTATTGGAACAATGATCCACGTAAAAAATGTCTTTTTACCGCGTTTCCAAGTGACGAAAAAAAAGGTATTTCAAATGGCAAAAACCCACGCATGACTATCGGAGAGCGTTATCTCGCTGTTGTTAGATGCACGTACATTTTGTACGATAGGCACTTTTTATCGTATTTCTCAAAATTGGCACTTGTAGTCGTGGTCATAATGCTGAACCGCGTTGGCAACGGCGGCATCAGCTGTAGTTTACCAAACTGGGCGGACACGAAACTATCAGATTAACGCCGCCGCCATACAAGGAATCCTCGTTCGGTTATTCTGACTACCGCCATTGATGTCGATGTTTTGTTTTGGTTGTAGCATTAACTTGCTTCCGCTTTTCCCTTTTTGTTTTTTTCTGCTTTTTATTCGTCGAAAATAGGATCATAATGTTGAAAAAAAGTTGTGCTTTGTGCAAGATTCTACCTGGAAAATAGGGGCCACAGAACTCTGCTGTAATGTTGATATCCGCGGTCTGCTTTGCGTCGCGATCGTGGCTTAATCACTCGTTGTTTCCATCTGTTTTTTTTTTGTCTTTAGATACATTTCTGCTACCATCACAAAATCGTCATTATGATGATGATTATTGTTATTATTAACACTATTATCAATGATGCCGTTGTTTATTAGCAAAAAGTACTTGTGGAAGCAAATGTAGAAACGATAAGACTCAGTAGAGGGAATAACAAAACGTAAGAACATAAAATTATTATATATTAAACAGAAATACGTCAGTAGCGACGAGAGCAGCGGTCGGTGTTTTTGGGGAACGCATCGCGATTACTGGGACCGGTGTACCGTTACGCAGAAATGTGTCGCTGCACTGCGATACGGCTATCCAACATGTAGCAACTTTAACCACAGATTCTGTTTGATTTTAATGTGGTCAGATGCGTGATCTTATAAATAATTGTCGAGAACGTAGAGCGACGTTTGCGATATGATGCAACATGGTGTATCGTAAAAGTTACAATGAAGATCTAGATTATCTTTATGACATGTTGATTCATGTTTATCTATGACATGGCTGTATCATTTTCTCTGTGAATAGTCATTCTCAATCGCACCGGTATGATCTCTTGTTTGCTGTTCATTTATCGAACGTCACGAGTACGTCAAGAGGGCAAGGGGAAGTTTGGTGTATATTTCGTTTACGTGTTGTTTCTACATCTTAAGCGTCATGACGTTTAATTGGCCTGGGGCTAGGATGGGCATTGCCGTCGCCAAGGAAATTCAACGCAACGATGCAGCTCTAGTCGCTCCATTTCAATTTCCGTTTTCTCTTGTTCTCGGTGTCTCTTCTTGTCGCGGACGCCAATAAGCAGCACATATAGCTAGCTCAGATGCAGTCGCTGCTTCATAAGGCTCCACTTTGAACCACTAGTTTGTATTTGATAGTAAAAATCGCTAAAGTATGCAGCCGCCAAAGACAATGAAAGGACGCCAACGACAACAACAACAACAGCTGCCGCCGCAGCAGTCGTTGACCATTTCCGAAACGGATGATCCATCTTAAAGCCTCTACCACAAACGGGAACGAGAAGAGTCCTTTCAGGATGATCAGTAGCCAGCGGGAAGCGTGTGCACGCCTCTGATACGTAGCCTGCCGCTCGTCCGTCCGTATCCGACTCTTACAAGTTGTTGTTATGTTGCTCTATTACTTTAAGCCTGGTCCAGCGGTGATTAGAACGATCACAAGCGCTCCCGCTGCTACGTTTATGGTCGACGCCTCTTTCTTCGTGTTTGTGGTCGTTTCCGTGATTGCGTAGGAGTTCTAAGTCTTGAGTCGCCAGTTGCATTATACGTCACCTCTGAATATGCGACATGACGCTGGTGCAGCCGGAACAG